CCTAGGCTGAAAAATTAATCACTCCCCTCCTTGCTACAAAACATCTACCTTTACATTTCCAACCCTCACAAGCAGTCCTGATAACAATTATTTACTATTGTATCACAAGAGACCCATCCGCATTTCATTTCATCAGCCCCACCTGGACAGATTGGTATTACACAGTGGTGATTTTACCTTCTTTGAGGCTGTAATTCTTGATGGGAGCAGACTGCCTGCCTCGTTGTTCTCTTGTGGAACATTGGGTAGGTTTGAACCGCCAACCCTGTGGTTAACAGTAACTCACTACACCAACCGATTCCTTCATCTTGTACTTTACAGTCTCAGACATCCTGTGGGGGCAATTTTGTCCTATTGACTCTATTCCATAGGGTCATTAAGAATCCAAACCCACTCAATGGCAATGGGATAGCCAGTTAAAATCCCATTTGGGACTGGGTTTTCTCTGTTGTATTAATGAGGCAGTATTAGTGTGTGGTGTGTCTTCAACAATCTCTTTTGAGATATAAAAGGAACAGACTAACCATAGGAAGAGACATGGGGGTGGGGGAAGAAAGATTCCAAGTCACATGAAAACCACAGGGAACAAGAGACAAGAATCTTCCCCCATAGCCCACAGAGAGAGAGACTTCCCCTCCAGCCAGCACCCTGAATTCATGCTTAGAGAGTCTCCTGAAATATGAGAGGAAAATGTCTGTGGATTTCTGTCACAGCCGCGTGCGAGAAGGAAGACACCCACAGGGATGGCTACTAGTGCGTTTCCAGCTCAAATCCACGCTGCGGCCTCACATCTCCCAATGCTGTGGCCTGAGTTCCCAACACTGATATCCACCCACCGAGCCACAGTCTCTCCTTGTATCCACCTGGGTTCTGCACACACAGTCTCCCCAACTGGGAAAGCTGGGGGGCAGGAGTACTATGTGACAGTCCTCTATAAAGCACCGCATTTCCATCGTCCGCCCTGTGCTGGCCTCAGAGCCTTCCGTGCCTTTCCTGATGGTATGGTCTCTTTGTGTTTCCCACCATACAAGCATCTCATTTTCCATAGGATTCTCCAAGGACATGCCTCAAAGACAAACAAGGTCAGGCACAGATAAAAATACAAACACACACAGTTTCCTATGTACTCCTCAAAGCTGCTATTGAGTTGGTTCCAACTCCTTGCAACCCTATATAGGGTTTTCAAGGCTGTAAATCCACGCAGGAGCAGAAAGCCTCATCTTTCTCACAAGGAACTGCTGGTGGACTCGAACTACTAGCCTTGTGGTTCCCAGTCCGGTGCTTATCCTACAGAGCCACCATGCACCCCAATTCTCAAAACACACACCTCCAAGTGCAAATATGGTCACACACAGAGATACATTATATACACACCCTATTTTCTATCGGATCCTCAGAGTCCATGCCCCAAAATGCATGAGTGTGCTTGCAATTTGTAGATGAGGCTTTCTGCTCCCATAAAGATAGACAGCCTTGGAAACCCTATGCAGGGTCGCTGTGAGTCGGAATTAATTCCACGGCACACCACTATCACCACTGCTACCACATGGATATATATATATATGTGTGTGTATATATATGTATATTATATATAGGAGTCCTGGTGTGGCGCTGTGGGCTAATGCATCAGACTGCAAAGTCATTTGAACTTCAAGGTCGGTGGTTCAAGCTCACCAGCTGCTCCCTGGAAACCCTATACAGGGTCGCTGTGGGTCGGAATCAACTCGAAGGCACCTAACAACAACATATATATACACACACACGTATATATATATGTATGTGTGTGTGTGTGTGTATATTTGTGTGTATATATGTACATGTATATATG